AATAGGCTGCCATTATTCTTTTTAAGTTTCGCTATATTAGGTTTTATATAATTATATTATAAATTTATAATATAAAAAGACTTTAAATATATATTATAAGCTAGCTTTAAGTTATTTATTATAAGGTATTTAAATAGGGTTTATATTTAAAGTATAAAGGAGAAGGTTTATTTTCTGTTTATATTTGCATTAAAGCCTATTTTTATAGGGCCAAAGCCTATTAACTAATTACAATGGGCAAAGCCTAAACCGTAATAATATAAAAAGAAATACTTATAAAATTAAATATATATTTAAGGTAAAGAGTAATGAGATTTTAGCTGGTATTTAAGTATAAGGTATTTAAAAGTTATTATATTCTTAAAAACCGTTAAATTTAGCATAAATTATTAAAATTTAATATATTAAGGAGCTTTATTAGGTAATTCTTTATATTTAATGTTTTTTTTAATAGCTAAAATCCATTTTTAAAACTCTTAAATAATTATAAAAAGTATATTAATTAATTACTTATTAGCATTATAATAAATACTTAAGCTTTATATTATAAATACTTTTTAAAAAGCTTTTTAAAGTATATAATAAAAAAGAAACTTAATTAATTATAACCTTATAAAAAAATTAATAATTAAAAGCTTAAATTAAGGCTAATTAAAAAACTATAAGAAAGAAGGTTTAAATTAACTTAAATATAGCTTTTGTTAATATTAACGCTATTTATAAAGCTTAAATAAAGGCAGAAAGGGTATTAGAAAAAAGCAATGCCTTTAAAGAATTAAAAATATTAATGGAAGAGGGATTGTGTATTATAATAGCAGGTAATTAATGTTAACGAGAAGGTATATGTATATGGCGAGGGTGGGCTGAATCAAGGGGTGGGCTGAATCTAGGCCGGGGACGTTACGTTAAACAGTGCTGTTAAATTGTATGTAATTACCGATATTATGGATAATTGGATGGGTCTTAACGATAACTCAATTATATTATTCTGCTTTATTTTTAGTAAACTCCCTCCTTTTTTATAATTAGGCCTTTTTTATTAAAGCTAGTGTTATTACTTAAACCACCCATTATTTAATATGCTTTAATAATTAATTCATAACGAACCACTTAATTTAACATACCCCCTTAAATTTATAAGTATTAAAAAGCTAAATATAAGATTGGTTTATAGTAAATTGCTTAATTTAGCCTTATTTTAATCTTTTATTGCTTTATGCTTATTTTTTATAAGGTGTTTTTTAAAGTATTTTCCTTTCTTTATTTTTTTATACTTTTTAGCTTAAGTTAATAAAGAAATCTTATTTATTTCTTAGCTAATAAGGCTTTTATCAACCTATTAATTATTATTTTTACTATTAATATATATTTTATTAAAAGTTAATTACTTTTAATTTCTTATTAAAGTTAATAATTATAACTATTTATATATTATAACTTTATCTTAAAGGTAATAATTTAAGTATTATTATATTTAATTTAATTAATATTATTATTTAATTTTATTAATAATTGCTTAAGAAGCTGGCTTATAAAAAGTATTTTTTACGGCTTATATAAATATTAAAAGCGTAGCTTTTATCATTAATATAGTAATTATATCTTGCTTATTTATTTTTTAATTAATAAGGCCTTTGAATAATTATATTATAAATGCTTAAAAATTTCTTTAATTAAGTAAATTATTTATAAATAATGCATTGCTTATAATAATTAAGTTATTTAAGCTATTAAAGCATAATATAATATACTTAATTTAATTAAGATAAAGAAAAACTTAATTAATAGCATTTTAATGCTTTTAACTTAAGTTAATTAAGAATTAAGTAAGTTATAAGGTAGTAAATACAATGTTTAATTAAGTAAACATTATAATAAATAATAATAAATTAATTTCTCATTAATAAATATATATTTTAGCTAATAAAGCAGCATTGTTTTATAATAATAGCTTTTTAGATATTATAAGGATTATATATAAAAAGCTTTTTTTATTAATTAATTTAATAATATTTTTAATATATAAGTTTTAAGCTAGCTAAATTCTCTTATTTAAATAATCTTAAATTATCTTTATATTTAAGAATTATTATATTAAGTTTCCTTTATTAATTTTATACTTTTCTTAAAGTTATTAAGCAAAAGCATTAACTTATTTTTATTTATTCTTTTAATAAGTAATAATAATAAGGTTTATATAAAACTTATTTATAATTATAAGTTAAGAATATCTTTATAAACTCTTTTTATTATAATTAAGCATAACTAGGAGTAACCCAAGCTTGCAAGGGGCGCTCCTAGCTATAGTTAAGTTTATTATAATAAATTTATAAAATATTTCTCATATAGGAATTAATTAATTAATATACTACTTTATACCTATAAGGCAAGAAAACTATATGCTTTTTAGCCTTTTAACGCCTTATTTACCTATTTATTTATTTACCCATTTACTTAATTTACTTATTTACCCTTTTACTTTCTTACTCTTTAGCTTTTTATTTATCCTTTTATTTTCTTACCCTTTAACCTTTTATTTACTTAATTTATTTATTTACCCTTTAATGCTTTATTTATCCTTTAATGCTTTATTTATTCTTTAATACTTTATTAATTTATTTATTATTTTTTAACTTTTTATACTTTATTTATTTATTTATAACCCTTTATTCTTTAGCATTTATAATTAAATATAATAAAAAGGGGTTTAAGAAGTTCTTTTTAAGAATTAAAATAGCTTTTAAGTTTTTATAATAAATATAAGTTATTTCTTATAATTACCTTAATTTACTCTTAATTATACTTATTCTTAATATAATTCCTTTAAGCCCCTTAGCTAATAATATAATTATAACCCTTTTAATTAGCTTTTTAAAAGCTAGGTAAAATTAATGCTATCCCTATAGCCTTGTAAAGAGCTATATAATATTAATTTTAAGGAACTGCACTCAGCTTTTAGTTAAGCATAGCTAGGAGTAACCCAAGCTTGTAAGAGGCGCTCTTAGCTGCAGTTAAGTTTATTATAATAAATTTATAAAATATTTTTTTATATAAGAATTAATTAATTAATATATTACTTTATACTTATAAAGTAAAAAAGCTATATACCTTTTAACCCTTTAATACTATATTTATTTATTTATTTATTTACTTATTTATTTATTTATTTATTTATTTATTTATTTATTTATTTATTTATTTATTTATTTATTTATTTATTTATTTATTTATTTATTTATTTATTTATTTATTTATTTATTTATTTATTTATTTATTTATTTATTTATTTATTTATTTATTTATTTATTTTATTATTTATTTATTTATTTACTTAATTTATTTATTTACCTTTTTACTTTCTTACCTTTTAGCTTTTTATTTATCTTTTTACCTTTTTACTTTTTAACTTCCTATTTACTTAATTTACTTATTTATTCTTTAATATTTTATTTACCTTTTAGCACTTTATTTATTCTTTAGTGCTTTATTTATTTATTTATTATCTTTTAACTCTTTATACTTTATTTACTTATTTATAACTCTTTACCCTTTAATACTTATAGCTAAGCATAGCAAAGAAAAGTTTAAAAGGTCCCCCTTAAAAATTAAAATAGCTTTTAAGTCTTTATAATAGCTATAAGCCATTCCTTATAATTACTTTAGGTTTATTCTTAATTATACTTATCCTTAATGCAATTCCTTTAAGCCCCTTAGTTAATAAAATAATTATAACCCTTTTAGCTAACTTTTTAAAAGCTAAGTAAAATTAAAACTATCCTTATAACCTTATAAAGGGCTGTATAATATTAATTTTAAGGAACTGCACTTAGCCTTTAATAATAATAAGATTTATAGCTTATAACGTGCTTTATTAAGTAATAAAATTATTTTCTTCTTTTTATATTTATAAGGTATTTTTATAAATATATTTTAATTTATTAAAGTATAAATAAATATATTAATAATATTATATTAAATTAATTTAAGATTAAACTTAAATATAATAATAATAAGTATTAAAAATAATTATTTAGCAAGAATAATAGCATAAGTATTTTATATTTATCTTTATGCTTATTAATTTCATTTAATAATAAGTTATATTTTATATTTTTAAAATATATTATACTTATTAAACTTATAAATATAAATTTATATATAATTTAAGATTTATTGTTTTAGCTATATATGCATTTTTCTTATTACTTTTCATTTATAACTTTATACCTTTATAACTTTATAAATAATTAACTTTTATCTTTTTAAATAATGTTTTAAATTATTATATTATTTTAATAAATTTAAAAAGTTGCTTTTATGCATTTTTACTTTTTAATATAAATATGTTTTTATTTAAACTTTATTAAGAATCTTTTTATTTAATTTTATTATTAAGGTAGCTTTTATATTTATAAGAAATGTAGCTTGCTATATAAGAGTTTAATATATTTTTTTATTAAATAAAATTTTAATATTTGTTTTTATTTAAATTATATAAATTAAGAATATAAATAATAATAATTATAAAGGTATAAGCAAGAGGGTAAATTTTATATTTATATAAATATTATTTTATTAATTTAACTTAAAGTATTTTTTCTTTTTAGCTTTTATGTCTTTTTTTAAGATATTATTAATATTACTTTCTTTTTTAATTTTAAATTAAGTTTTATCTCTTTAAGTATTTACCTTAATTAAATCTTTTTTTCAGCTTTAAGATTTTATCTTTATTTAAAAGAAAATATCTTTTTATTTATTTTATTAAATAGTTAATATTTATAATTAAAGTTTATTTTTAAACCCTTTTTAATTTTTATTAAATATTTAATATTAATTAAAAATAATATTTCTTATATTAATTACCTTTTTAATAAAAGAAAGTTTATATTTAATAAATATTTAAAGATTAATATTTAATAAGATATTTAATTTATGCTTATAATTTTAAATGTTTATATTTTCTTTTCTTAAGTTATATATTTAAAGTTATTATATATATCTTATAACTAAAGATTTATAAGTATGCTTAGTTTAGTTTTAAATTTAGCTCTAATATATTAAAGTATTTTATAATTATTAATTAAAATTTATAATATAATATTTTATATTTAAAGTTATAACTTAGCATTTTATTATTAAAATACATAATTATATATTTAATATTTAGCTAAAATAAATATAAAAATCTTAAGCTTATTTATATTACTTATATTCTTTTTAATTATATCTTTTAAGCATTTATTATTATTATTTTAAGCTTATATATTTAATGTTAAAGGTTTAATTTTAATATATTTTAATTTAAGAAAGCTTTTAATTATTTATTATTTTATAAAAACTTTATTATTATATTTAATAACCTTAATAATAATTTTATATTATACTTTTATTATCTTAAGAAATAATTTAAATAATTTAAGAATTATCTTACTTTTTTAATTTTTAAGGTAATAATTTTAAATATATTTTAAAACTTTATATATAAGCAGTAATTATAATATATAATTATAAATTTTAAATTTATAATTATAAAACTTTAATGCAATTTTTTTATTTTTTTATTTAAGGATTTTTCTTAACGCTTAATAAATTTACCTTATAATCTTAATTAAAATATATGCTTTATATTTAATTATTATTAGTTCTTAAATATATATTTCTTAAGATAAGAATATAAGGTATTTAAGTATATATAAGTTTAAATACTTTATTTAATTATATTAAAGAATAGCTTTATTAATAAGTAGTTTTTATTTATAATAAGATATATATTCTTTTTATTAAATATTAAATATGCTTTAAGTCTTAATAATTTAATACTTAATAATATATTAATTATAAATATTTTAAAGTTAATATAAAGTTATTTTATTTTATTACTTAAAGGTTATTAAATTATATTTATTATTTTAATAAATGCTTTTTTTAAAGCTATTTTAAAGATATTAAAGTTATTAATAATTTTAAATAAAAGGCAATATTTTTAAAGTAAAGAATTATTAATTTATAGCAAATTATTATAATGTTATATCTTAAAATAAATAGTTAATAGTTATTAAATTATAAGTAATTATTATGCATAGCTAATCTTATATTAAATAATTTATTATTATTATTTATAATTAAGATTATATTTATTAAAAAAATATTTTTCTATATTTATTATAAAAGCTTTCTTAGCTTTTATATTAATAATATAATATTTTAAGAGTTAATCTTTAACTTTTTTAATTACTTTTATTTTAATTAATTTTAAAGTTTTTAACTTTAATTTAAATCTTAATTTTTTAATAACTTAAATTTATGCTTATAAATTAATATTATTTTTAAAAGCTTACTTTATTTATTTTAAAATTTCTTTTTATAGCTTTTACTTAAAGTAAGCTTTTTTAAGGAAAATATAATAATATTTTATAAGGGCATAAAGTATATTATATATAAAGTACTTTTTATTTAAAATAGTTTCTTCTTTAAGTTAATAATGCTTTTTTTATTATAGCTTTTATATAATTTAATTATTCCTTTTTATAATAATATTCCTTAATCTTTAATAATTTAAGTATTTTTATTTTTAGTATTATAGTTTTAATTATTATTATAAGTAGTTATAAATACTTCTTTTAAGACTTTAATAATTTCTTATAAGCTATAAATTGCTAATTTCTTATAAAAGTTATTCTTAACTTTATAAAATATAAGGTTTTTATTTATAATAATTTATTATTTAAATTATTTAAAGGATATTGCTTATTTAAGTAATAACCCTTATATCGCTTATAATAAATTTAGTACTTTTAATGTTATATTTTTAGCATTAAAGAGTTTTTTTTAAAGACCTTTTATTATAAGTACTTTTTATTTATTAATTTATATATATATCTTTTTAATATTTTATAATAATTTAAGGGTATTTTTATATGCTATTTTTAATTGTATTTTCTTATTAATTAATAATTTTTTATATCTTTCTTTTAAGTTTTAATATTATTCTTAAATAAGTTTATTTATAATATAATAAATGCTTTTATAAATTAAAGAAATCATTTAAAGTATTTACTTAATAAACTTTTTTATTAATTAATATTCTTCCTTATAAGTTATATTAAATTACTTAAATTATAATAAGTTTAAGTTAAATATCTTTAACTGCTTTTAATAAAATTTAATATTATTTAATTACTTATAGCTTTCTTTTAAATTATATCTTTATCCTTCTTTTTATTATTTATTATTTAAAATAATATAATTTATAATATATATAATTTCTTAATATATTTTTTTTAATTAAATATTAAGCATTTTAAAATATAAAAGAAGGGGTTTTTTATTTATAATATAAGAATTTAGCCCTTATATTTAAACTTAAAGTTTAAATTTATAATTTTAATTATTTTAATTTTTAAGCTTTGCTAAAAAGGCATTTAAGGTTTTAGTAATAATTTAATTATTATAATTTAATTAGCTTAAGGCAGTAAAACTCTTAATTATTAAATTTTATATAATTATTAATATTATGGATAATTAAATAAGTCTTAATAATAACTTAATTATATTATTTTACTTTATTTTTAGTAAATCCCCTCCTTTTTAATGGTTAGGCCTTTTCTATCAAAGCTAATGTCGTTGCTTAAGGCACCCGTTATTTAGTATGCTTTAATGGTCGGTCCGCAGCGGACCACCCAATCTGACAAGTGCAATGCCGCCGCAATTTGCAAAGAGTTGTGCGCGAAGGAAGGCAAGGTAAGTTCGTTTTCCGGTCACAGTTGAGTACGAAGATATCATGGCATACGATCGTGCTGACATTTTTCATCTCCAGGACAGCGAAGGCGGCGTATGCAAAGCGGAGAACGCAGCGTCGTGTACATGCGTACCCAAGTAGAAACTCATCAGTCAAGCTCACGTATGCAACGCGGGTGGCGCTGACGGTGAGGTTATGGTTCAGCATCCTGCATACGGATGAGAATTACTGGGAAGCACGGTGGACAATAAACCATGGTTCACGCCCAGTTATGCGGACAAATTGGACTGTGGGGGCTTAAGCAGAGCGACTAGGTCGCATACTCATGAACCCTGAGGCGTCTTTTCTACGGTCTTGAATCATGAAGTGAAATAGAATGAAATTCAACATGCTTTAATGCATCTACTACGTGACCTAGGTGAAACACCCGCAGTGGATTGTTTGCATGCTTGCTGCCAACTATTGGTCATGAGATGGGGTGAAATTGCCTTTGTAATCCGCATATCCTACCTATCTGGCGCCGGCTATCTTAGGGCTGAGCTTAAGGGTGAGTGCCCGCCCGCGCACCTGCCAACTTACATGTTACGGGCGGGTCAAGGCAACCAACTGTGACATAAAGCAAGAGGTTTGGTAATGACAAATCCGTTTGCGCCGGCCGGCACCCCAACTGGCTGGGCCGTAACAACATGCTGGTCCCCTTGCGCGCCCTTTACGAAGAAGGACCAATGCTCTTTTGACGTTCGAAAACGTTTGTGGAACCTTAGTAGGAGCTTCTGACAACTCGTATTGCAAGGATAATGATTATTAGCTGGACGACCCACTGGGGCGCCGGAAGGTTATAATAAGACATTTGTACTAGGATCAGGACAACAGGGACTGACTCGGGAACGGATGGTACAAGTCATGTAACAGTACACTCATTTGCATTCCACAGCATTAAAACTACAACTGACTCATGCAATGTTTGATACAAAGCGCGAGGTCTGCCCTAAAAGCATATATTACATAGTATATATAAAGGCGGAACCTCAGCACGCAATCCGGATTCATTGGCGATCTCTCCTACTCAGCAATCCGATTCATCCTCTAAACTTTCTTCCATTTTAACAACTAGTTCACTGCAGTATCCAACATTCTCTCATCTGCGAAAATGCGCCTTTCATTGGTTTTTCTTAGCCTGTTCCATACGACAATGGTCTTTGCGGTCACAGTCATGAACCCCGATTGCACAAGCGCCGGGGATCTGTCATGGGAGTCGAATTGCAGCACAGGAGACCAGAGCAGGTGTTCAACCGCGTGCGACGCCAGAGTGAGTGATTGTTCCCACATGCGTGCTCCTTGGAATGTACTAATGCGAGAAAAGTGTCAAACCGGAGTGGGCCGCTTCATGGCAAATAGTCAGGGCAGCTGCGACTGTTATTGCGACTAAATCCAACATGCTCCCCCACGACTTCCATCAGCTGCAGGGATCTACTTGGTATGTGACAGCGATTTTTACGGCATGGCAGTACCGAACTCAGAGTAATGAGTCAATCCATCCAGAATACTCATCGCCTGTTAAGCAGCGGATTGAATTTGTTACGCAAGCTGTCGATCCGTAATATGTGGGGAGGCGTTTTGGACGTGATCATCGACGCAGCTTGGACAGCAAAGCGGTGGATACGCAAACGACACAGCACGCTTTAGTCGTCTCGACATAAATTACAGCTATTCGGTTCAGAAACAGCTTTGACCAGGGGCGCTCAATAAACTAGGCTCGTTATAGGACTAAAATGCGGGTGGAGTTCTAAGCCTGAATGACGGAGCCTACGAATAGCCACCATGCATTTAGGGTCGCTTCTTCTGTCGGCAGGTGCAACCAGACCCTCTGAGGACAGTACTTAGTCTTTCTGACGGGAGCCGTAGCACCCGTTAAACTTAGCAGAAACCAACCACCACGAGAATACATACAAATTTGCTTATCACCTTGTTCGTACGTACGAACACCTACTAACATCTTCCATCATGGGAAATTTGCGAGTATCGAATCTGTGCAATAAAGGCGCTCAGTTGCGAACGGAAAGTCCTATTACTCATCTTGGTAGGTCTAGGATATCATAGTATTCTCCAAAACATCATATATTACTGGATGGTGCTAGAACAATTTCGACGGTTCACAAGTGACAGGCGCATTTCAATTAGTTTGGCCGAACGCACAGGCCGCTCGGAGCTGACAATCCAGACCGTGATTGTGAACGTGGCATCCGCCCGGTCGAAAAGGACAATCGTGCAGATGGCCGTGGATACGTCTTTGCGCAATCTACCCACCCTGTTGACAGGAAAAGCGGCCGCTCTGCGGTAGCTCGTGGTGCTAGAAACCGGCCATTCTTCCTGTCCCCCGAGTGCTACCCTGCGACTGAAAGCAGTCGCGGCTATGTCGGATGTTGGGTGTCTGAGGCGAAGTCGAAAAGGCACGACAGTGCGAGACGGAAGCCCGACCCCTGAAGACTCTTATGCCTCAGGCGACCTCGGGTACCTTATCGCCTACGGCTTCCAAGGCCGAGACAGAGTCTCACACAAGCTTTATCTCCAAGCACGGTTGAAAAAAGTTAATTTAGTTAGTACTTTTAGTTAAATTAGTTTCTTCACAATAAGCTTTATTTAAAAACCACATCAATACTTATAAATCTAATATTAAGGTATTATATAAAATAAATATAATACATTTAAATAAAATTTTAAAAATATTTATTTTAATAAAAGTAAGGCTATTAACTCAAATTAATAAATTTTTTAGTCTTAATCAAGCTTTTTTGTAATTAAAAAATTAAAAACATAATTTTAAATTTAAAAATAATTAAAAATTTTAAAATAAAAATGAAATTTTAAATATTAAGCTCTTAATTTATATAAAAAATCAAGTTTTTTTATTAATTAAATAAGTTATTATATTTCCATATTAATTTAAAGAAGAAATTAAGGTATGTTAAATTGCACTTTTTAGTTTAATTAATTTCAACCCTATCTCCAAGGCTATTTCCAATAAACTAAAGGCTTATCTTAATAAGCGGCTAGTATAATTCTTATAAGATATATAAGCATATTATAACTTAAGATTAAAATAAAAGCTTAATAAGTTGCTAGCTAAATATTAAACTATTAAATATATAAAGCAATATATAAAGATAAAGGTTAAAGAGTTAATTATTAACTTTATTAATAAATATAAGATATTAAATGCTATTTAAGAAGTAATAAATAAGGTGAAAGAAAATATGCAAATTAAGATGCTGAATGCATAAAGTGCATAAAATAGGCTTATCTCACCCCTTACAAATAATAAATGGTTTATAGTTAAGGTTAATAAATATGCTATGGCAGGCTATAAGGCACAAGCTGGTTGGAGCCTGATTGGCTGCAGCACTTATAAAAATAAAACATTATTACACTTTATATATATATATATATGCTATATTTAATTATAATAATTAATAGCTATAACTTTTATATTATAAAGCCATTATAATAAACTTTATATTATTTAATCTTCTTTATTTTAAGCTTTTAAATAATGCTATTTTTATTTTTATATCTTTAAAATTTATTAAGAAATAAATAAGTATTTCTTTATTAATATAACAAACCTTTAACCCTTAAAATTATTAAGTTAATTATTATATATATTAACCTTATACCTTTTTAACTTACTTATTTATTAACTTAAGCAAGCTTAATTTATATTAAAAATACTTTGAATTATACTTACGCCTTTTATAATTATTATATATATATAACATTATAAAAAGCATTAAAAAAGCATAAGGTTTAAAAGGAAATTTATTTATATAGGCTTAATATTATATAAATTAACATTATTAATAACATAAATTATATAATAATCATTTTAATAAATATATATTTATTTATCAATAATCCTTATAAAACCATTATTAACAATAATTATTCATTTCTTATAGCCAACCTTATATTAATAATATAACCTATAATTTAAAGCTAGTTTATTATAAAAACTTAAAAAGAAGCTATTTTATTAGCTAATGCTAAAAAATATAAGTTATATTCTTATTAACTAGCTATTAATATAATTATAGCTTAAAAATATAGCTTTATTAAAGTAACTTATTAAAGCCTTTATATAGCTATTATAATAAATTTAATAAATAATAATTATTATTAATATAATAATATAAGGTTAATAAAACCTTGCGAAAATATATAATGCTTTAATAGCTTAAATTAATTTAAAAACTATATTATTATTATTAAGATTTCCTCCTTAAGAATAGCCCTAAGAATAACTTTAAGTGCTGCTAAAACCATTATAGCTACCATTATTAAATAATTTAAAGATAATATAATTTATAATATTTTCATTAAAACTTAACTTAGCAATTTTAAGCATTTTCTTTCCTAAACTTAATAATAATATATTATTATATAACTTAAGCTATATATTTACTTATTTTATAAAAATTACTTTTTATTATTATAAGTAAGAATATAAGTATAATAAATATTATTAAGATTATAAAAGAGTATTAATAAAGTACTTTTAAAATAATTTAATATAAATTATATAAGTTTAACTTTAAGTTTATTAATAATTACTTAAATACTTAAATGCTTATATTAAGATCTTTAACCCCTTAATAACTTAAATAATGCTAACGCCTTAAGTCACTTCTTTAAAAATTATAAGCTACTTTTTAAAAAGGAGGATATTAGCTTATTTTAGCTAAAAAAGCTTAAAATAAGCAATAAGCTAATATAAGTTTTTAATAAAAAGAATATTTATTATAATATTAATTTATTTATTAATTACCTTAAGTTTTTATATCCCTAATATAAAGCACATTACATTAAATATATTATTTAATAACCTTTAATAAAAAGGCAAGTTATTAATAAATAAATAAGCTAAATTAATTAAAATATTTAATAATTACCTTTAAACTTAATATATTTTTAAAGCTTTAATAACTTATTTTAAGTTATAACCTATTAATATTATAAATAATATAATCTTAAACTTAATTTATTAAAAAAGACTAGCTTAAATAATAAAGCGTTAATTTAATATATTTAAAGTTAATAGCATAATGCTAAGTTATTATAACTTAATAATTATAATTTACTATATATAACCTTATTAATAATTTAATGTAACTTTAACTATAATCTTTAAATATTAATTCATTAATTTTATT